TTAATGAAAATCTTAACAAAAGGGTATGTTTCATCATTTTTCTAAGATACAGGGGTCTATTTGATGTAAAAAATAATATAGGGGCATATTATACATATAATTCTTCAATTATTTATGTCATGCTGGTGGTTAAATTTATGGGAACAACACTCCGATATAGGATTTTTGTCAAAATGAAACGCATAAACCATGATTTAACCACAAAATTACTTTATCACTGACTTATCTGCAAGTACAATTTTCGATATAAATTTACAATACTCGGTTGAAACATGAAGCGATAATAACATAATATTTATTCACAAAAAGTGTATGGTTAGTGATACAAGAATGGATTTTAGATTTTAAACTGAAATATGGTATGAAAATCAAATGTACGAAAACGAAACTAATAGACACGTGTAATTCCTTATGAATTTTCTATGAATGAATCAATTAGAATTAGTCTGTCATGGAACGATTGCGACGAAACTTGAATCACTTTTGGATCGTGGGTAGGAGATTGAGATTAATCATATTTATAGAGTATATAATTGCTCAGCTGATTTCTCGGCCTCTAAGAGTCATGCTATGAATTTTGGCACACATCAGCTCAATGTATGCTACCCTGAAATGGATTACTGACTTTTGTACGATGTTATGGGAACTTCAATTTCCGTGCTATTAATACTAGGGCAATGTCTATTTTTTACCCAAACCTTTTTCAGATTCTTTTATTTTAACCAAACCTATAGAAATTCTATTTATTATCCAAACGTATTATAATTTATCAAAGTCTGGGCATTCATTCTGTTACCGTTACTTATTTCGTCCACGTGAGAGGTGGGATTTTGTTTTGTTTTTTTTATTATCTTTTTATTAAAAATAGTAAATGATGGTATTCTGACCGCCACGTAGGAAGTCAACTCATTATGGTCATACTTAGTCAGCATTACTAACAGAAAAGTTGACGGAGAGTTAACGTTTGGATAATTTTTAGGAATTCAATAGGTTTGGTTAAAATAAAAGAATCTGAAAAAGGTTTGGGTAAAAAATAGACATTGCCCTTAATACTATGATATAGGACGAATACGTACATCTTTCTAAAAAAAACACTCCGCCATAGCGTATAGCCACTGCGAAGCGTGTATGGTTTTTGGAAGCAAAAGCAATGAGCCAATGACCCAAGGCAATTTGGTGTAAAAACTAAAAACACACAAATGTCATTAAACATAGTTAACCTTGTACATATACAAATGTCATTATGTGATACATTTTAAATTGGTAAAATGTTGCAGGTTAGATAACATGTTAATTATATTGTATTGATAAAGTCAGTTGCGTCACCATATGAAATCGAAAGTGAATTTCATTGAAGTAGGGAAATAAAAGTGGTATATAGTGAAATTAGGAAAAAATCTCAAAAGACACACGTTCTTAAAAAAAATTCTCAAAATATACATGTTATAAAAAAAATTCTTAATCTACACATGTTTGGGAATCACTGCAGTTGACGAAAGCGGTGAACACATGCACCGACGCATCACCGCAGCAGAGGAACACGGTGATGGTTCACCGCAGTAGAGGAGCGCTGTGAAGGCTTCACCGCGGTCGAGAAACGCAGTGAAGGCCAGACCTACGTTGAAACTTCAAACGAACGTAAAGATATGATCGGATAACCGAGCGCAAAATTACGTTTGTTTGAAGTTTCAACGCAGAACTTCTTGTTTCAGAGGGCGAATCCATCAAACTTGATCAACCATTAACGAGCAATCCAGGTAAGGCCTATACTGCGGTCGGCAAACGCGGTGAAGCCTTCACCGCCATCCTCTGCCGCAGTGATGTAATCAGTGCCTTCCTTTGCCGCGGTGAATGCCCAAACATGTGTAGATTGAGAATTTTTTTTATAACGTGTGTATTTTGAGAATTTTTTTTAAGAACATGTGTATTTTGAAAAATTTTCCTATGAAATTACAAAAAATTGTTGATGTGATAATAGAGACCACATATAAAACATAAATTGTAGTTGATGGATGTGGATGGTCTATCGCTTTGGAATAATTGATAACTCAGGTTGATGTAAAAGTCACTATCACAATGGTCAATGGCAGCTTGGTGTATAACAAACCTTTTGAAACCATTGACCTATTGGTTGACAATAAAAACTCACAAATTATAGTCACAATGCTCCAATGTCAACTGTGTGTAGCAAATGTTTTGGCAGACCATGAGGAACAAAACAAAAGCGATTAATATATATAATTATACTTTATTATTAGTAAATACTATGTTTAATACATGTACATGTATCCGTACATATTTTATCCGATTAAAACTTTTGTATCCGTATTATTGTCAAACTGTTTAATTTTTCCGTCTATCCCTACGGGGTGTATGAGTTGACTGTTCCACCGCAAGGTGTTATCTCGATTCTTCAGGATGATCCTAGGGGTATTACTTTTGAGCGACGGATTGTGGCAAGTCCCTCCTCTTCTTCTTGACTCCTTCTCCCTGTAACGATCTTCTTTTTCTTGGCTCCGGCCTCCCTTTTATGCAAAAAAAAAAAAAAACTGTTTAATTTTCCCCCGTTCATTTAGTGACTCCCTTACTAAACACGTATAAAACCGTATAACACATTTAATATCCATATTTAATGAATTATATTGTTAGCTTTCCCATTATTTATATATTTATTTTTAAAATAATTTATTTTATATTTTTATGAATATTAACGTACTATTAGACGTAAAATTAGCTTATAGACGACGTAAAATACCCGCACGTATTTTATACATAACTTTTCTGTACCATATTTTACTAACTATGCTTTTATGAGTTAACATAATAAGTTGACCCTGTACTAGTACTAGCTTGTTGTCCGACCTGTTGGTCGGAATGTCATTAAATACAATGTATGTATGATGTTTATATAAAATTTTGAAATTACTTGAAATGCTGAATTTCGTATGACATTTAGGTGACATCAAAATTAATTTTCCATTTTTGACATTCTTATAACTTTTCATCAATGATAAACATTGTAAGATTAATTGCTATAACCAAAGTTGTCAACTCGGTTCAAGTTGTTGAGCCGGTCAAGCAAGTAGTTTGAAGTTTAATGGTTTGATTGAGGTACAACCTGTTTGAGCCGTTTTACACATTTTCTAAATATATTTACATACAAAATAGAAATTTAGTGACTGAAATGAAATGTAATAACTTATATCTATTAAAAACTCAAATTCCATAAGAAAACATACTTATTTCAAGATCCACCCACCATCCTCTTGCCTCTCTCCCCCTCCCCCTTCCCTCTCTCTTATTCTCCCTCTCTAACGATCAGACACTTGGTTTTGTAGAGCCAATTTTGGAACACGATTTTGGTCGGATCTAGTCCAACCAGCCGCTCGATAAAGGTGTAACAACCTTTGTTATAACACTCGTGAATAACCATTCATAACTTGTCAATTTAATGATGTAGTCACTCTGAAAAGAAAATTGACATAACAAAAAAAGAGTTTGTCTAAAAAAGCGTAGCATAAATAGGAAACTTGTGATCATAACCTTTATTCAATATTTATTTCTTATGCTTGAGAAACAATACATATATAATAATATCTAAACCTAAAGTATTATGCACAATACAATAACAAAATTAGTAAGAAAATAACATTTTTCATCCATACTTATGCAATGAAAAAATTATTTATCAACCAACATACTCTAAATTTAGTTGAAGTACAATCTTATTCACTCAACAAAAAAAATTAAACCTATCTTGTGGTACCTACCTTGTTAATGCACATGACCACATCAATGCATCCATGAAAACTCCAGCTCGACTTTCATGATTTGTCTTGTATTGCAGTTATTTTATATTAAACTAATTAACTATAAATGATACATATAGTCAATTATCATATAAGATAAAATATTTAAATAATTGAAATCATCTAGAAAAATTGGTATTCAGAAATTGTGTTCTTTTAAACTCACACATTTGTCCAATCATGCCATATTATCAAGAGAGTGAGGATTTAATAGTAAACCAAACTAAAATTTTAAAAAAGCGGGTCACTTACTGTTTGCATAAAAATATCGTTGCTTTAATAGTTCTAAAAATCAATACCAAGTTAAGAATTCTACATCACATTTACACATTCAATATTGCAATTGAATATGTAATATTCAAATCAATAATATTTGGGTTTCAATTTTAAAATTATCCTCTATTTATAAGATAGACATAAATTAAATTTATTATTAAAATCAAATTCAAATAATCAAAATATGAAAATTAAAATATCAAATAACAAAGAAAGTTATGGGAAAGTTAGTGGGCTAGCTAACAGTAGTGGAAAAGTCGTATGATTTTTAGATTTCAGGTTTTCAGATTTTTTACTTAAAAAGATACAAAAGATTTTTTTAGCGTAATTGGTAATGGTTGTTGTCTTAGTTTAGAAAGACCATGGTTCGAATCCATATATTTGTAGATTAGGGTGCTAATGAATTTGATTTCAATTAGGGCTAACTGATTTGATGGTTACTGGTTAGCTAATAGACAAAATTACTTCTTGATAACCGAATCAATAAAACCTTATAAGTTAAGTGTTTATTATCGATTTGGTTAGCGATTAGCATGACAATTGACCATTAACCCCCAACAACCGCCACTCATCACTTTTTTTCCTCTTAATTGTAAAATATAATCATTCAAACTAAGTCAAAATAATTTAACTAATTGTTAACATAAAATAATAATTATAAAAAATAACATCAATACATACAATGTGAATTCGTAATCCAATTCCAAATCGTAAAAATATAAAATAAAATAAAAAACAATCAAACTTCTTCATTCAAATAATTGTAAGAAATAAGATTAGTTTGTTAAAAAGAGCACGGGAACGAGCCTGGTGGTAGAGTTGTCACCTTCTGTATATTGCAAGTATATATTGCAACATCCCACAGCTTGTGGAATTATTGGGCAGTATCGCAAGTATATTACTTGTTTCTATCTGATGAGCAATCAGCAACCTCCGACGGAGTTGTTGTTTTGGAGCTCTCACCAGATCCGCCAGATAGATGGCTTTTGGTACCAGCTGCCGCTTGCAGACCGCATGGCCGCCTTCCGGTCACGATTCGAGCCGAGAAGCGACGACATCCTCTTGACGACGTTCCGCAAAACAGGGACGACATGGCTCAAGGCTCTCTGTTACAACATCCTCGACAAAGAAGCAGAAGAACAGGACCTTCTGGCAAAGAAGAACCCCCACGAGGTGGTTCCCACCCTCGACACTACTTTCCTCGAGGATCGAACACAAGACATCCTGCTCAATTCCCCTCCTCCCCGGCTGCTCCACACGCACCTGCCTTACAGTTACCTGCCGGAGGCGGTGAGGGAGTCCGGATGCAAGATCGTGTACCTGGCTCGGAATCCCAAAGACACGGTGGTGTCGATGTGGCATTTCTACAACAAGGTGTTGAAAAGTGGACCGGGTGATGAGCCGTACCCGTTGGAGGGAGCGGTGGAGAGCTTCTGTAGTGGGGTTCTGCCTTTCGGGCCCTTTTACAAGCATGTGTTGGGATTTTGGGAGGAGAGCCGGAGGCAGCCTCAGGAGGTGTTGTTTCTCAAGTACGAGGAGCTATGCAGAGAGCCGAAGGAGCAGGTCAGGAAGCTAGCTTTGTTTCTCGGGAAGCCATTTTCCCAGCTGGATGGAGATGGTGAACTGGAAAAGGTACTGTGGCGGAGCAGCTTGGACAGGCTCAAGAAGTTGGAGGTTAACAAGAGTGGCGTCGGGGAGCTGAACCATGTGCTCAATTCCACCTTCTTCAGGAGAGGAACGGTACGAGATTGGGAGAATTACTTGACTCCACAAATGGCTCAGCGCATTGACCAGCTCACGCAGTCCAAGTTGCAGGGGACTGGACTTTCTCTCGATGATTAATTGCTAAATTAGTTGATGCGTTTTTTTATACTTTTTCGTTTCAGTTTAGTGTTGCCCCCGTCTAGCAAGCAACATGGATATTGGATTGACATATAGATTTCTCTATCAGTCGTGGCTCGTCCATATTTTATCTTTTCTACTTCAATCTCAGAGTTTCTACTTGCCAATATACATCATAATATATGTAAACCTTGTTTTGTGTGTAACTCCAGATTTTTTATGTGAAAGCTTTAAATGCAAATATTTCCAAATGTGAATTTACACACATTTCCTAGCGTTGACCTTGACATAATTAAATACTCTATATCTTGATCTTGATAATCTGCAGCCCAGGTAGGCCAATCATAAATGCAACCTTTGCATTTACTTAATACAACTAGCTAGATTACTACATTCATGATAAAAAAAAAAATTCATGTTGTGGAGTTTCTTCGTTGTTTTTAGGGTAATGTCTATTTATTATTTAAACATTTTTCATATTCTTTTTAGTCAAATCTATTGAAATACAAAGAATTAACCAAACATTTTGTAACACGTCAAAGTATTAGCCATTTTTACATTATCGTTAATAATTATGTAACTCTTTTCTTAGTTGAAATACTAAATTTTTTGAATGTTGACCTCCATGTATCTCTTCTAAGTTAGTATCATGTTGCCAAGTCAATATTACTAACAAAATTGATAACTAGATGTTAACATTTGGCTAATTATTAGTAATTCAATAGGTTTGACTAATAAAAAAAAATCTGAAAAATATTTTACTAATAAATAGTCATTACCTTTGTTTTTATTATAAGTGCATGCATGGGGCTAAATTTTGATTAACAGGGAGGAAATGTAAATACGGTAACTTAATGAATTAGTACAGATTTGAAAAAGACATGTTCTTTGTGGTTAAGTCTTTTACTATTTGTGGTCAACTTTAAAAATATATTACTAAATTAATTTTATTATAGTACGGCTACGGTGAAGAAGTTTTTCATAACTTTTTTGATAATGGTGAAGCGATTATATTAAAGCGAGAAAGGAAAAAAACAACACGTTCAAGACCCCAGCTCTGGTTCAAACAGATGAACCAAAGGGCCTGGGAAACACAAAGCCAAAAGCCCTCCTCACAACTAAGTGGACCAGACCACTTCTGAAAGAGGCGAGCAAAAGCAGAACCAATACAAAGACAAACAAAAACAACATACAGAAAACACTCCACTGGTGTTACGTAGATGCGCCGTAGGGGCTGAATTCTACGTACTGGATCTTTACTTCTCCGGACTTTTGGATACGTTGCTCGACGCTCTCGAGTAGAGGATCTCTTTAATGGCGAGAACAACCCCAAAATAACTACGAAACTACTAAACTGAACGAAAGAAATAATCAAAGCAAACAAACATAAATTGGGTTCCAATCTTCTCATGACATTAAACGAACGAAACAAGTACATATTTATAGGCATAGAAGCCTCTACCCTTTTCCCATCTAGAATATAAATCCTACTCCGCTAAGGACACGACAAACTATAACCTAAACCAACTTGAAAAAGGAAACATTAATTAAGACAATAATAAATCAGACCCAATAATATATAAATACGAACTAATAAGAAAGATACGCAAGCCCAGTAATTAATGAAATGCTACGATGGCTCGATCTCGTAACATCCCTCCCCCCTTAAGCGCAACCTTGCCCTCAAGGTTGGTAGAATGATCATACCTGCTTCAACCGGGATCGATGTAGAAGAACCTTCCCCGCAATTTGCAGTAGACTACAATGACCACTTGATTACGTTGCTTATGCTTGCGGTACTTCCACTTGCGCTCAGGAACTGGGAGATAGCCAACATCAGTAGCTCCTTCAACGAACAGCACGCAACAATTGATATTTTCTCTCATTCTAGCTCCCATGTTGCGTATGAGTGCATGAGAAAAGGAGTTGCCTACCCAAATCTTATTCCCATGCAATGGTTGCATTCCTCCGAGACAAACAATTATGGGAATGGAGTCCCCTTTGCAAGAATTAGTGCCTATGCATTGACCAACAAACTCTTGCCCATGCAAGTCACGTATGTCTATTATAAATGACCACCCACCCAGCTCCATGCCTTGTCCTGGTCCTCCATTGGGATTGGAATCTTCATTCACGCCTTGTCCCTCATTTACACCATCGTTGCATTCCCAGCAACCTTTACCCAAACCTTTTTTTGATCCCTTCATTTTCACGCCATGCTTGAATCGATCAAAAATAGTTTCGGGCTTGGGATACATACCGAAGTAGCGGCCTGCTTCTTCTTTCGTGGCCCGAACGGACTTGGCGAGGGCTACACCGGCGGTCTGGGCTTGAATTTTGGCAGCGGCAGTATAAACGACAAAGGCGGACTTGGGAAGGAGGAATGGTTCCTCCTCCTCTACGATCTCCGGGAGCCCATGGAGAATCGGATTCCCTCCGACGGTGGTACTCACTGCCGATATGAAAAGGCCAGAGCGATCATCAGTCCTTGGCTCGGTGGTAAAGGATTTAGTCTCGTCGTCTTGTCTTGTCGTTGGCAATGGTGTCCGATCAAGTTCAAACTTATTCGGATATTCCAAAGAGTTACGAGATAGCGGTGAAGGGATGGTGCTAACCGCCTCAGTAACCACCTCGACGTATGGGGAAGCTGGAATCTTGGTCGCCGTTGAGTCTAGGTCCATAGTTCCTCCTTCGCCCTCATTGATCATGGATAGGTCCGATATGATAATAGGCTCGACGTTCACGGCAGGTACGTCCTTGGTGATCAAAGGGACAGCTGCGGTGATCAAGGAGTCTCCGAGAGGAATCATGATCGGTAGGACTTGATCGCTATGATGTACCCGAGCTGGCATCGGGTCCTGAGGCAAGGTAGACGTATCAGTGGCCCCCAAAGTCTCGGCATCTTGCTCACATACGCCAAATGATTGCCGCCGCGGTTGTCGCTTGCTAACTTGGTTGCCACTCTTCACTTGCTTCTTCCGATACCTCCAATTCATTTTTTTTTTTGATATGGGTGATATAAATTAGAACAGAAAGCAAAAGAGTATCAGTACAGATAACAGGTTCCAGGCCGATAGCAGCTAAAGAGAGGAAAGAAAAGGCCAAGGGCAGAGGGCGAATGAATCAAGCCCAGCAGCAGCCCAGACAAGGAAAAAGAAAATAAAAACAAAAACAAAAACAACTCCACCAGCCACCACTAAAGTCCTATCCGAAGGTCCAGCCGCTCAAAGGAGAGGGACGAACAGAATCGATCCCAGTAAAAAGACACCAGTACCATCGGCCAACAGCCATCCAAGAAACTGCTGCGAATCTACCGCTGCAAGCAGACTCGATACCAGAAGAAAGACACCAGTAACATCAGCCATCCAAGTAACTGAGTGATCACCTCGGAACTGACGAAGGAAGGTTGTGTCTGGACGGAACAACCCTTGCACGTAATTCACTTGACCAATTCATCGCAACTTCAGAATCAACCTTCTTAGCGGCGGTCAACCAAGCTGATACCAATCCTCCAATCTTCAAAACAAGCAACCAATCAGGGCAGGACTCTTCCTTGAAGACTCTGGCATTTCGTTCCAACCAAACAGTCCAGCAAAATGCATGAAGGGCGACAGACGAACACCACTGAGCCGGACTCGTCGGTTTCGAAGTGGACCATCGCGAGATTCTTTCCGCAATCCCGAGCGTTTCTTCCATTGATTCGTCGAGCTTGATAAAGCACTTCAGCCTATTCCACACTTGCCTTGAGAACTCGCAAAAGACGAAGATGTGATTGGTAGACTCCTCTTGCTTCTCGCACAAACTGCATCTGTTGGGAAGATAGAACCCTCTTTTCTTGAGATTATCCAAAGTTAGGAGTCTATTATGATAAACCAGCCATAAAAAGATGCAAATTTTCGATGGAATTAGGCTATGCCACACCGTCTTTGATGGAAAGTGATCGGAGCCTGTGGAGCGAACAGCAGCAAGCTGCTTGGTGGCAGAATTCACACTGAAGGGCGACATACGCGTCAACGGAAGCTCCCAAGCCGTAGCAGACATCGGGGTTGGAGATAAGGTTAATCTCTCCCTAGCTGGGTCGATCGTTGATGACATTGGCGGTGCGGCTTCTAGCATCATCGTCGGTGGGGAAGAAGCTAGGGTTAGCTCTTCCGCGGCGGCCTTGGTTGATGCGATGAGGACGTTGGCGGACGGTGGTGAATTCAGAGCTAAATTTAGCTCGGCGGTGGCGGCAACGATTGGCGGAGAAGTAACGCTCTCCAACTCGGTAGTTGGCAACCTCATGGAGTCGATGCGATCGGGGCAAAACCTCTCCACATATCAGTTCCACGTAGCGACCAATTCTCTTGCTCGAATACCTTCAATCGTCATGATTTTGCGGTGCCGGAGAACCGGGCTCTGATACCAACTGTTACGTAGATGCGCCGTAGGGGCTGAATTCTACGTACTGGATCTTTACTTCTCCGGACTTTTGGATACGTTGCTCGACGCTCTCGAGTAGAGGATCTCTTTAATGGCGAGAACAACCCCAAAATAACTACGAAACTACTAAACTGAACGAAAGAAATAATCAAAGCAAACAAACATAAATTGGGTTCCAATCTTCTCATGACATTAAACGAACGAAACAAGTACATATTTATAGGCATAGAAGCCTCTACCCTTTTCCCATCTAGAATATAAATCCTACTCCGCTAAGGACACGACAAACTATAACCTAAACCAACTTGAACAAGGAAACATTAATTAAGACAATAATAAATCAGACCCAATAATATATAAATACGAACTAATAAGAAAGATACGCAAGCCCAGTAATTAATGAAATGCTACGATGGCTCGATCTCGTAACAACTGGCTCCCTTGCACTGCCACACGAAACAAGCAAAGAAACAGCAGACAAGGAAAGCTCCGCAGGCTTCCCTGCTCTTCCTGAAACTGCTCGTGGGAGGTGGGCAAAACAAAAGCAATCCTGAAGCGCAAAGCCACAAACAAACGAG